GAGTTCATTAAATGTATCTTTATCACGCATTCTGATCTTTTTGGATTGTTTATACATGCTAACCGGTACAAATACACTGTAAAAATATATTTTCATGATTTGTAAATCACAATATTTTTTCTTTTGTCAAATCAACTTAAATTATTTATGTGGTTCAGATAAGATAATGTTTTGAGTTTCTAATGATTAAATCAATCTCCTTCATTGTATTAACTCAATTTTTCCATTTCAGTGAACTAAAAATTTTAAGGCAACCAGGTTAATTCATTTTTTAAGTTAAACCAACAATATTTTTTTTACATGTTTTCTGTGTTTCAAACTGCGCTAAGATATACATTTACATTATGCTGCCTAAAGGTGTGGTCATATTTACTGTTGTTCAATGAATTTGTGGTAGAATACCAGTCATTTCAATAGGAATCCACGCAATCAGGAATTTCCTGTCAGAGCAAAAGATTTTCCCACACACATTTAACAACAGATTCAATTTGGTCTCATGGATTTGCTTCGTTGACCAATAGAAAGCTGCTTGTTTGAAAGTACGAGCAAAAATTGATGAAATTGACTTGATTGCCTTAAAATAAAAAATAAAAAATATATTAGCCTATTATTATTATTATTTTTAAGTTGCTGCCTTAAACATCCAGGTTGATTTAATTTAAGTCATTTCAACTTAAATTACATTAAACTGATTCTTGTAGAAATTGCTTAACTTATTTTGATGATTTGGGGCAATGTAAAAACAAATTTTATGTCGATCATATATTTTTTTACAGTGTGAAGTAGGAAGGGACTATGGTTTACATCACAGCCTTAGATATGTTTGCTCATTAAAGAGGGACATTTAATTGGACAAACATTTGGACACGTCCATGTGTGCAAAATGACTCATTAGTAATTTTCTTCTGTTTTTTACAGAAAAACTGTAAAATTTTAAATATGTTTTTGCGGAAAGATAATATTTTCGCTAATTCCCACACCATCAGTAAAAGGGTACAAAAGCTGTCACTGGGGTAGTACCTTTTTTTATACACATTTATACCTTATTAACCACTAAAAGGTGCATATTGAATGTATAATGAAAGTGTACCGCCCCAGTGCCAGCTTTTGTAAAAAAAAAAAAGTAGTAAACTAGTATGTAAATGGCTGCTAAAGCTAATAAACATTGACTAAAAGCCACACAGGTCAAACGGTAATATGACATGACCAACAACTCTGATATGTACAGCACAAAAAAATAAACCACTGTAAAATGTAAAGAAAAGCAAAACAAATTTGTGAAATCAGAAAATAATATATATTTATGTTAAGACATGCGTTTATGTGTTTGTAAATGAATGAGGAACTTTATACCTCTATAACTGCAACCTTGCCGATCACCGTGAAACCTTAAAAACCAACGCAGAGAGTGAACTCATAACCACAATCATTGAGTCATGTATGACCTGTAAATGAATGCTTTTCTTGGAACAGCCTCTCAACTTTCTGAACTGTGCCTTTGATGTGTGACAGTGATGAGTAAAAAGGATACAGCATTTTTGCCATTGCCAGGTATATTGATTTGTGTGACAGATTTGTGTATGTAATATGTATGTAAAACTATGTTACAAAAAGAAAAGTACCTCGATTTATCATTCAAACTAGCATTATAAAGCAGTATAGTCTAATTAAAGTCACTAACAAAAAAGTATATTACCCCAGAGTTGGCATGATTGATCAGTAAACCTATAATAAATGTATTATGTGTGCATGTTTCTGAAGGAAAGCATGACCTTCACTATCAATGACAAACAGCACGTGCAGAAAGCCGTATGAATGTGAAGCGAGCCATGTTTCTCAAGAAAGTCATCCAAATTTATATGAAAGATCTGTGACGGTGTTCGTTACAGGGCACTTTCCTCTTCTAAAGAAAGAGGAAGCGGGTATTTGGATGTGTGAGAGGTGGGGGCAGTTTCACAATGAGCTTTAAGAGATATGACATGCTGCCAACCTTTCACAAAAAGAACTTCACAAATAATTTCCCATAGAGAGGCAATACAGAACAAGATGTGCCATAAAACTCAACATTGTAACAAGATGTGCCAAAAAAACTCAACATTGTAATGATTGTCTCATGCTAGGCTTTCAGCACTGCTGTAACTCTTCAACATGTTCAGAGATGCTCTACCACAGACCTCGGTTGTCACGAGTGGTTATTTGCAACGCATTCTCATCCCAAGGCGTCATATACTGATGCTTTTGCCAACGCGTATAGACATCCAAAGCACATGGCACCCTTTAGCGTCAATATAGCACGCTTCGGTTATGGGTAGTTTTAGGTCTGGGGTAGGGTTAGGGTTAGACCACTAGGAGGCGCCTTCTGCCCCATATATTTCTGCGTCTCATATTGACGCTAAAGGGTGCCATGTGCATTGGATGTATACGCAAAAGTGTCGTATATGACGCCTTGGGATGAAAACGGCTGTTATTTGAGTTTCTGTTGTATTTCTGTCAGCTGAACCTGGCCATTCTCCTCTGACCAAGGTATCAACAAGGCATTTTCTCCCACAGAACAGCCGCTCATTGGATATTTTCTCTTTTTCTGTCCATTTTCTGTAAACTCTAGAGATGGTTGTGTGTGAAAATCCTATCAGCATTTTCTGAAATAGCCCATCTTGGCACCCTGTCACATTCAGTCACTGAAAACACCTTTCTTCCCCATTCTGATGCTCAGTTTGATCTTCAGCGGATCATCCTGACCGTGTCTACATGCTTAAATGTATTAAGTTGGTGCAATATGCGATTGGCTGATTAGATATTTGGATTTTCAAGCCGTGAACAGGTGTATCATAAAGTGGCTAGTATGATTATGTACACTGTTGGGTGTAATGCGTAACTTAAGCACTGTGCTTAAGTACTTAATTAGTTACTTTATTGTAATACTTGATGTAATTGCATTAATTACTGAATAGACTAGAACAATTCTATATAAAACCATTTTATTTTAACATCAAAACAAGTGCATTTAACATAAAAATGTAACAGCTATTGAGAAAAAATTCTCCCTTTAAATACTTTGGTCAGTTCGAGAATAATTTATACAATTTTATATAATTTATTTGAAGAAGTTTTACGTCTATCCTTATTGTAGAGAGTATTCGTATGGTAATCTAATTTCCCTGGTGATGATGTCATTTTTAGCTAGTATTCATTTCTTTTTAGATTAAATTACCCAACACTGATTTTTGAGCTAATTTATAGTCTTAATTGGCATAATGTAAATTATTTACAATCTTAAATCTTTATTTTTAAATCCATTTAAGTATTTTACATATTATATTGAGTTTGTTGAAATATTAATTTGTAAATAATTGTTAAAACAGTCTAATTTCAAATTAAGTATAAGATAATTATTTTAAGCTATAAAAAGTCAAATTACACAATTTCGCACAAATAAAGTAAGCTAAATACATGTCAAATCATGCGAGAAACAACAAAAATAACAAATTATTATAATTATTATTATTATTATATCAAAAATTATTATAAATGTCTTTTTTGGGGGGCCTTTGGACTTCTTATCACATAAGAAAATTAATAATCAACTATTATTTCTGGATTTTTTTTTTTTTTTTTGCTCTTGGAGTGCCTGAATGTCCTGGAGAGAGTTTACAACCTAATCTGTGTGTGTGTGTGTGTTTCCAGTACCTCTTTGGGACTGATGTATAAATAGTGTTGAGATCTGTGTGCTCTGCGTTATGGTCCTGAATAGCTGCTTTGTTGAGTGTTAAGTTACACTGCTAAACAGTCATGAGCTTGTGTGTGTGAGAGAGAGAGAGAGAGAGAGGGAGAGAGAGAGAGAGAGAGAGAGAGAGAGAGAGAGAGAGAGAGAGAGAGAGAGGGAGAGAGAGAGAGAGAGAGAGAGAGAGAGAGAGAGAGAGAGAGAGTGATAGTATTTGCCTCAATTGCCATCTTAAATCTGCTGTAATCAATCTGTGAACTCCCAGATCTTGTGATGTTACTTTAGAGAGCATGAAAATAGTAATGTTAAAGGGGAAGTTCACCCAAAAATGAAATTCAGAAATTTAGAAATAACACCTGCTTAAAGTATCAAAGAGCACTGTTTGCCATAATATTACACAATTGTCTGTAAATTGAAGTGCATTTTTATATTATTCCCTGAAAATTAATGCAGAGAACATTTATTTGGGATAATTATCGAGGTTCATCTGTCAGTTTTAGTAATTTATCTAGCTAATGTTAGATAATGCAAAGGGTCAAAGACAAGTTTGAGGTTTGTGAAATTTGCAAATGAGCAAATTAATATATATATATATATATATATATATATATATATATATATATATATATATATATATATTCATTTAATACACCTATACAGTAAACATAAATGTAAACAATAAAGGCTATAAACATAAAAATGTAAAATAAAACGTAAATTGTGGTATTGGCATAGGTAATAATCTAGAATCGGTTAAAAACAAATAGCTAATGTCAACAATGTTGCCTTTTTACACATCTGAACTATTCATTCAATAGCTGTGTTAATTCAACATGACATAATAATACATACATTAATGGAGGGGTCATATCGCGAGGAATCTGTACAGCAGTGAAAGGGTGGCAAGAGTGACGTAGATCATGACCGCGTCTCCGGAGCAATCCACTACATACAGGCAAGCGGATTGTAATTACCCCAACAACGTTAATAACTAAGCTAATAAAAGCAATGAAACGAAGTACGCATGTTAGCTATAAAGCAGTCAGAATAATTTATAAGATATTTCTGGTAAGCAGTTGTTCAGCACCGCAGAAACGTAAAGCCCGAGACGTCTGACCCCCCCTCTTGTGTGTCAGTGGTTCAGTCCACTGGTAAAATTCCGAGAATTACGAGCTGCGTCTTCTCAGAAGAGTTCTTCCAAGAACTGTCTTCGCCGGACTCTTCCAAGAAAAACACACCAGGTGACTCTTTTCTATCTAGCAAAAGGTCTAGACTAAACAACAGACGCGTCTAGAGAAGGGAACTGTTTCTACAGTTAATTGTATATTGTTTTAAACCAGACTACTTTCTTGTATTTAGACGTGTCGTGTTAATTACGCAACTCCACTTTTGTCGGCCTAATTGCGTGTAAACTAATCTTATTCGTCTCATATGTCAGTTTCAATCTGTTACATTACATTCAGTGATGTTCTGTAGATTTAGAAAGCTCACTCGGGAGTCGGGAGTGTATAGGTTTACGCAACTTTATATGTGTGGGAAACTAAGTTTATTGCCTAGAGTAGACAGTCATTGTGGTCATAAAACAGCAGACGCGTATAGATCATACATGTTATATGATGTCATAATCACTGTATTATTAGAACTATTTTTTAGAGATTTTCTATGAATTTGTCATTCGGCCACGCGCATGTGATTATATGCTGGTGAAGTGTCAAAATGATCCATTTAATGGAAAATGTAATAAATGATCAATTAATTGTCAGCACGCGAACATAATAATTCGAGGATCTGTTACGATTGCGTCAGCTTTCAAGCACATTAATGAAATTGTTTACTGTATGTGTACTGTAATCTCTATTTCACTGAACATTCATTTATTAAACCGAAACGCCTGGTGTTTACTCCAAACACCTGTAACCAGTGCATAACTCATTTGGCTTTTATTTGTATACCGTCATAACATTAAATAACCACGAGGGGTAATTAATACCAACATGCACCATCGCTGTTCAACAAGTGTCAGTGACGGGAACAACTTCATGCTTACGTCATGGTGTCTTAAATCATACAGCCTATGCTCACTATATAGTGATGTTTGTCGTAATGCTAAATTTCGGGAAATGCTTAGTTATGGAGATACAGTGATATAAAAGCATAAACAATGCTGTTTAAGATTGTTTGCCCCCGTGATGCCCAATCTTGCTGTCTAGGTAGCTCACTAGGATTTGTCGCGCGTTTAGCTAATATGAAAGTCTGAATAGAGTAGTTTCGGGAGAGTTCAAATATGTGTCCTATTTTTCATTAAAATCAAAGCAAACGATGACTACAGGGACACAATCACGAAATGTTATACATTTCACAGAGTATATTTAATACCAAATATTTTTAGGTTCACTGTGAAAGTTGGTCATACCTTTTTACAGTTTGCAACTGTAACTCTGTGGACATCTAGTGTTCATCTGACAAAACTGGCTCGTCTTCAGTTTTGACGTGAACATTCATATATAACATGACCTCTGACAGCAAATGTAAAAATGTCATGGTGTGTGATTTTAGTTATTATTTATTTATTTTAGATAGAGATATATTCTTTTTTGCAAATGTTTCACTATATTTTGAACTATTTCTGTGCAGGTGAACAAAATGTCAAGTGCAGCAGACGGCTGCGTTAAATTCACTCGCCATGCCGGTGACGTGCTGTTCAACTTCAACCGGCTCCGCAGCAGAAACATCCTGACTGATGTCACCATTGTGGTCGGTGGGCAGCAATTCCAGGCCCATAAGACAGTTCTGATGGCATGCAGGTCAGTGCTATGATTTGAAATGGCAAATATATGGCATGCACACTGCACAGTAAGTGACATCTCTATTCCGTCTTATCTTTTCCCAGCGGCCTCTTCTACTCCATGTTTGCAGACACTCATAAGAGCAACTTGAGCTTCATAAGTTTAGATCCAAAGGTGGACCCCGATGGCTTCGCCATACTGCTGGAGTTCATGTATACGTCTTGCCTTACTCTTAAAGATAACTTAATTATTGCCACCCTCAACACAGCCACATACCTACAGATGGACCATGTGATGGACACATGCCAGAGGTATATAGACTCCAGGTGAGTGCTAAAAAACGTCACAAAAACATTCAAGCACAGACTAGACAAGATACTCCATTCAAAGGCATGTGATTCGTAACTGCACCAATGGCATAATGCTCATTTAATGATGAATTTGTTTTTAATTATATATCGAAATTCAAATTCTAGCTAGATAGATAGATAGAAATTGGACTTGTTGAAAATGGTATAAAAGTTTTGCAAACCAATATGATAGGGATGCACCGATATGAACATTTTGGTCGGTACCGATAACCGATAATTCTTTATACTTGAAAGCCGATAACCGATATATCGGCCGATAAATCTAAATCCAAATTTTTATTTCATTTTTGAGAGTCTGATTACAAAAATAGAAGTTTCACCATTAAAATCCATATCCCAAGCACATCATATAGTTTACATGGACTATATGACAGACTTGTGCTGCACTAAACTGTAATTTTATTTTTTGTCCAATCATATTTCAAGCCATTCCAAACCATGATGTTGAACAGTGCAATTTTTTTTTGTAATTTTTTTTTTTTTTTATTAATTAATTGTTTTTAATTAATTGTTATTTATTGTTGCTACTGGAAACTTGAATTTCCTTAACGGATGAATAAAGTATTTATTTATCTATCTTTATCTATCTATCTATCATCTGAAGCGTCTCAGCTGAAGGAAATAATACATTAATTATCAGCTTTAATATATCGGCCTAATTCTCTTATCGGGCCGGTAACACTAAAAATTAACATATATCGGCCGATGCCGATATATCGTGCATCACTACAATATGAATATGAAACCAACACAAATACGAAGATCACAGAATTTGACACGTTTTAAACAAGATTTAAAATCTCTTTATCTTGGATTGACTCAACTTCTACTGTTTTTCTCAAAGGGGCTTGTGTGTGAAGCAGACCAGAGCAGAGATGCTGGTTAATCACGGCTGTTTAACTCCCTACATCCTCCGAGATGCCCTAAACAGCCAATCCAGTGTGAACCTCGGCAATTACGGACCTCCCAACCTGCACTACGCAGTCAGCACTTCCACAGAGAGCCCAACTCACTTCTACAGACATCTACCTCTCCCGCTGGAGACCTCCAACACCCCGAACCCCCTCTGGCAGATCCCCAAGACCGGCGTAATAGCCCGTCAACAGCACTCCTCCAGGACCGTGACTAATGCAGGGGAAGAGAAGACCCGTCCATCTGTGCTCTTTCGTTCAGCTCGAGCTGAAGCCGAGGGAGACCGGAAGGCTCCGATTCTGCACTCAGAGGTGGAGAACAGCAGCGGTCCCGGGAGCCCTCTCAGATCAGACTGCCAACCCAACTCCCCTGCAGAGTCCAGCAGCTGCAGTCGAGGAGCGGCGTCTCCTCCCAGCTCCATCACTCACCCAAAGGCCCACAACTGGAAGAAGTACAAGTTCATCGTGCTGAACTCCACCGATGGAGCGACTGACGGCGGCTCACCGACTCCGTCCCACGTAGTTGCAGAATCCACCAACAAGAACTTTGAGGAGCAACTCATCACGGATAGAAGGTCAGTCGGTGTGGCGAAAGTCTTGGATGCCAGTGCAAGCATTAGCATCTGACGCAGTGTTTTGTAAACGTGGTGTCACGTGTGTTTTCAGATCTGCAGATGATTGCATCAAAAAAGAGGAGCGTGGCTCTTCACTTCCCAACACTTTGACCGAGGAGAGCAGCTTGACACCCACAGGACCAGGTGAATGCACTCCACATTTTGAAATGTTTCTGGGCATAAACAGCATTTATACATGGGTTGAAATTTGGGTAAAATACATTAATATTTTGGAAGCATGTGTCAGTCAGAATTTTTGATAAGAATATAATAATTATTATGATTTTTGTAGGTTGTCAGAGCCATTTTTGGAAGGAGATGATAACTATAATAATGATAATCATTTATTATTATTTAGGAATAGTACATTGTATGCATAATGTTATATGTTACCTAAATATTTTTAATAACTATTTATAAAGATTTGGGCACCTGGTCTGAGTTTTATATATGTAATATTACAATATGTTACAGTGTTTCCGCTACATTCATTCTCCCGTGGCGGGCCGCCACACTTAAAATCCTCCCGCCACGCCTGCAGCTTTTCAGTGACGTCAGACATTCTGCATAGTATGTTATTTTGTTAAGCCCCACTAAAGGCATAAAAAACTTTGTAAAGCACAATCAAGTTTTCACACTATATTCCAAGACTTCTAAAGTCATTCAATAGCATAATGTGTGGTAAAATTAATATTTTAGTCTCAAGTTAAAGTTAACGGAAAGTCATCTCGCCTCAGTCATTCTCCATTCAGCAATCACACAGCGCGTCGCGTTCGGTTGCGACAGTAACACGACGACACTCTCTTCAAGATCAATGTTCCCGATATTATACTTTATTTTGTAGATAAAGCATAAAGGTCTATGATTTGCATAAAATGACTATCTTGCTGGAGTGGAGTTTATTGCCCTTTAGAATACACTAAGCATTAGTGCTGCACATATCGCAGTCGTAATAGCGAACTCAAACCTATGCAATTATATAACGCAAAATGCCGCGATTTTATATGAAATAAACAAATTAGGGCTATTAACGCAGCATCTCTTCTTTTTTGTCATCCTTTGACAAGTGTTACAAGATCCCCCTCTTATTGGTGCAAATGCCTTTTCGCATTTTGCACGACAAGAAGTGAAAAGCTGCCTGTGAGTGCCCTAGATTAGAACAGATGAGACTCGCATAATGCGCATGCACTGACCGCGTGCCAGAATAAACATTTCTCTTTCGAGCTTGAACGAACAATAGCACACACAATTATGCCAAAATGTCGTTTTGTCTAGTATCTTCATAACATAAGAAAAGTCTATGGATGAAAAGAGTTGTGCTATGAGGCGCGTGTGAGATCCGCGTCTCGGCAACGGGTTCTCTTAAAGGGCCAGCAGCGAATAAAACGTTCTGTCAGTAAAGTTAAAAGAACAAAGGGAAATTAGAAAATTACTCACTGATCTTGACTAAAGAACTTTTGTAGCTTTAATAAGGATTATTCTATATATAATTTATGATTCATGCAGCGCAGACTGTTTGATAACTTTATTCAATTTCTGTACCTGTTAAGACAGGAAGGGCACAGGTAATTATGTTTTTTATTAGGCTATGGGTTTATGTGGGGATTATTTGAAGTTCACTTAATTTAAAAGCTGTTATATATATATTTTTTAAGCCTAATAATTTTTTAAAAAGTTGATAGCTTTCAATTGTAATGATGGAATCACTGTAATGTTGGTTTGGTTGATGGTTTATTGATCATTATAGGTGTTATCAATCATTTATTGTTGTTGTTGTTTTTAGTTTGAGTTGAGAAATAAACATTAATCTGTGTGTGCATTTTACTTTAGAACCAAGCAAGTTGGACTCATGAAACCATTTTATTATATCGGCGTCGCAAATCGCAATTGCAATATTGGCTCAATAATGGCAATATGACATTTTCCCCAAATCGTGCAGCCTTTCTAAGCATAGATTATAGATATCATCCCTTCACTGTGTTCTTTTCAATGCGAAGCGTTGCGTGCTGTGACTTGGTGTTGCTTCAAGTGCATCATTCTCCACACGGGATGCGCATGATCGCTTATAATACTTTGGGGAGACAAGGGGGCGTGGCCTAAGGGAATAGACCCACCGACCCCCCCCCCCCCCCCTCGGGGAAATGGGCCTGCCCCCACAGCTTGAAAAAATCCTAGAGGAAACACTGTGTTAGTAGTCAATGATAATATTTATTATAGTGCAGTCAAATCAATTAATCACATCTAATGTAAAAGCTTTTATTTATATAATATATATGTGTGTGTGTGTTTATATATATATATATATATATATATATAAAAATGTACATTATGTATGTTTGTGTATATGTATATTTATTCATGCACACACACACACACACATATATATATATATATATATATATATATTAGGGCTGTCAAATGATTAATCGTGATTAATCGCATCCAAAATAAAAGTTTGTGTTTACATAATATATGTATAATTATGTATATTTAAGAAAAAATATTATTTATATATAAAATATTTATATTTATATATAATATAAATTATATATAAATCTATATACAGTATATACGTGAAAATATTTTTTAAATATATACAAGCATGTGTGTACATTTGTATATATAAAATAATTATACACAGTGCACCCACATATATTATGTAAACACAAACTTTATATCTTTATTTTGGATGCGATTTGACAGCCATAATATTCATATATATATGCACTTATATTATATAAACAAAAGCTTTTGTTAGATGCGATGTGACAGCACTAATTTATTAATATTTATGTATTTGATATATTAGTGGTGTATATGCAAGGTCTATTTAAATATTACAATAGTTAAAAATAATATGCATTCATATTTAGGAATTACATTTTATGTTTGTTATATATATTTGTGATTTTAATACCCATTTTAATTACCCATGTTTAAATGTTTTATATAATATAATCATATTTAGCAGCATTCAGTATGCATGAATGTGAAAGATACAGCAGTACTGCTGCCATCACTACAGCCAACAACTACGCCTGCTATTCTTAAATGTTGTGGATAAAAGTCTTTTGGCATCTTATTGACGCCAAGATCATTAGTATCATAACAGATGTATATACATATATATATATAGTCTGAACAAACGGATCTGATTTCATCACTAAAAACCTGAAATGTGTGCAGTGTGGACAAAGGCTAATTGTTTTGCTTGTCTTAGCAGAGAGGGACAAACTCTATTGTAGCGAGTGCGAGTCCAAGAGCGAATCTGACGCAGAGAAGCCACAGCGGCTGCAGGAAGGAAAACCATACAAGTGTGACCGCTGCCAAGCCATGTTCCGCTATAAAGCAAACCTAGCTAGCCACAAGTCCGTCCACACAGGTAAACAACAAACAAAGACTATTCTTCAGCGACGCTCTCTCAAACCCGTGTGTTGCCGTTTGAACATTCTCCAAATGGTTTCTTATTACAGGAGAGAAACCGTACCGCTGCAACGTATGTGGAGCTCAGTTCAACAGACCTGCCAATCTGAAGACACACTCCCGGATCCACTCAGGGGAAAAACCATACAAATGTGAAACCTGCGGCTCTCGCTTTGTCCAGGTAAAAACAAACTCCCAGACCATTTCTGTAGAGAAACCTTCGTGTCAATCCGAGGCGCTTTATCTTCTTCTTTCTGCTTTCCCAGGTGGCTCATCTGAGGGCTCACGTACTGATCCACACTGGAGAGAAACCGTACCCGTGTGACATCTGCGGCACACGCTTCCGCCACCTGCAGACGCTGAAGAGCCACTTACGGATACACACGGGCGAGAAGCCTTATCATGTGAGCACTTTCTCATTATCAACATACACTTCAAACGTTGATAAACAGTGCAGAGTAGCTGCTAACTGAATATTAGCCGTTATAGTATTATAGTATAGTAAGTTTGAAACTGTTTGTAGATGTTGCAAACTATTGACCATTTTTGCCACATTGGAAAAAAAAAAATCATGCTTTGGTAATAAAGAAAATCTGACTTCAAAAGTCATAATTATGACTTACTAAGTATGAAGTCTTAGTAGTGTTATTTAATACATAGTTCATCTAAGCATACTATTATTATATTTAGTCGAAATGACAAAATTTAGTCGAATATTATATTCTGTCTTAATCATGACTTTTGACTTTTCATATAAAGTACGTCAATCTTAGTATAGTTAGATGAATCCGATAATTTCAACTTTTATGTTAGTTATGATTAACTTATGATTACATCATTTAGTATGTCATAATTTTAAAATTCTCTGAGTCAGAATTTCGATTTTTCAAAATTTCAACTTTTTATCAATTATAATGGTAACACTTTACAATTAGGTTTCATTAGTTAACATGAACTACTTCTACGGCATTCATTCATCTTAGTTCATGTTAATTTAAACGTTTACTTGTACATTATTCAAATCAAAAGTTTGTTAACATTAGTTAACGGAATTAATATTAACTTTTTTTAAACTAACATTAACAAAGATTAATAAATATACTGAAATAAATGTATTGTTCTTTGTTAGTTATGTTAGTTACTGAAATTTTAATACTAATTTGAACAAATGAGTTCTTATTGTAAAAAAAAAAATGGGCTTCCAAAGTTAATGGCTGATTGGCCGAGGCGATATATATATCGGTTGACCACTAGTTTCTTCACGTCCTCGTTGAATGTTAACTTAAAACCGAAGAAGCATTTAAAGTCCTAATGAAATGGTCCTGGCTTCTGATTTCAGTGCGAGAACTGTGACCTGCACTTCCGTCACAAGAGTCAGCTGCGTCTGCATCTGCGGCAGAAGCACGGTGCCGTCACAAACACCAAGATCCAGCACCACAGAAGCAGAACAGACCCGCCCATCGGCTCCCTCGTGACCTCTTGAAAAAACCTCAAACTGTTCAGAGACTAAAGCCACTGGTACTGCCACAAGAAAAGCTATCATAAAATACAGACGCTGATACTGCATGGATCTTTGTGATGCCAATATCCAATATAAGTTACATATTTCTGGAATATGAAGGACTTGTGCCGCAGCATGTTCTGGTTCACAGTTCAGGATTTCAGCCGGGTCTCATGATGGTTTAAGATTTTAATTATGTAAATACTGAATCCCAAGCATTGTACTTAAGTTCTTGTCAATACACACTGCAAATTCTTTGTGTAAGAACATAATTTTATCTCTATTTATTTTTTTAAGAATGCTAATTCACTCCCTCTCCTGGCAAACTGTGCACTGTATACAAAATATATGGGGGGAAGATCGGTACAAAAAAAATGTTTTATCAATGTGGTACATTTAAAGAAGCTCTGTTTGTCGAATTATATTGTATATTTACATGTGTTTGTACAGTTGTTTTGGTACTAGAGGGCAAAATGTCCTTGCAAATAAATATTTGATACCAAACAAATAAGTGCAAAGTGGTTTCATCTTTGTAATATCAAGTTAACGGAAGTTTCTTAATAGACAAATATAAGACAAGCTCATAAAAAAACACATATTGATCAACTTCGAAAAGAGAACTTTTAGAAATATTACAACTTAAAATAACTGTTTTCTATCTTAATATATTTTTTACAATATAATTTATTGCTGTGATGGGAATTTTCAGCATCATGATTCCAGTCAGTGTCTAATGATCCTTCAGGATTCATTCTATATGATGAATTTGTTTCAAAAACATACTTCAGACTTTTTAACGGTAGTAATAAAATGATTAAAAAGTTATAAATTACAAATGTTTTGTGACATTGTAGAAATAATAACTTATTTAGTTAACAGAAATTAGCAAAATTAAAAGAAATAGTTTAGAGGTACACTAACGTCCCCTCTAACAGTAAAATAACAAAACTGTATTTTGCGGGAGAACAGTAAACCCTGTTAAAGAGCTATGCCAACTTATATGTTCAATAAAATACATTACTCACCTGTTGAAGTGCATTCAAGTGCTATCTCCGTGTTTTTACAACATTTCAAATCCCTCAGGTCTGGCCATCTCCGAAAAGCCAAGCCATTTTCATTTGTTTTATATCAAGCTCTGTTGCATTATCTTTTTGCCAGCAATTTCGCGTTTTATTTTTAACGCGGGATTCCCAGAGGTTGGAGATTTAGCTGCTCCATGTGCCAAACTTTCTCACTCATTGTGACTACTATGGAAAGTCAAGAAAGCCAAAAAACACGTGAATTTCAACGCGTATTTCACGCGTTAAAGGAGTAGTTCACTTTTGAAAAAAAAACTTTTCCTGATAATTTACTCACTCATGTCCATGTCATTCTTTCTTCAGTCGAAAAGAAATTAAGGTTTTTGATGAAAACATTCCAGGATTTTCTCCATATAATGCTTCAGTGGGAAACAAACGGTTCAATGTCCAAAAGACAGTTTCATTACAAACTGCAAACTGTTCAAAGGGCTGTAAACGATTCCAGACGATGAATCAGGGTCTTATCAAGCGAAACGATCGCTCATTTAAAAAAAAAAAAAGTTTAAGTTTTATAAGCTCAAATGGTCGCCTTGCTCTGTACTCTGATGCACTTTCGTGACTCCTGTTCGAACTCGTTCATCAAAATGAACGAATCTTTTTCCGAGTCAATTCGTTCGTTGAATGAACCAAATGACTCTTTGAACAGTTTGCAGTTTGTACTGAGAGTGTCTTTTGGACCTTGAACCATTTGGTTCCCACTGAAGTGAATTAAATGGAGAAAAATGCTGGAATGTTTTCATCAAAAACCTTAATTTCTTTTCGACTGAAGAAAGAAAGACATGGACATCTTGGATGACATGAGGGTGAGTAAATTATCAGCAAAAGTTTTTTGAAAAGTGAACTACTCCTTTAAAAACAGGTCAGTGTCATTGGGTGCTGAAGACTTGGGTCTATTTTTATTTATTTAGTCTTGTTTTGTATAACCTAAAGAAATAATACATTTAAATAGCAGTTTTATGAAAATTGATACAAATAAAATGTATTTTTGTAAATAAACACATTAATGGACATTCTAGCTTTAACATCAAACCATTAATATTTGTGTGGGTAAATCAGTTCCAGTAGATGCAGGTTTAAGATACAGACTTTGGAAAACAACATGAGCTTTTGTTGTGCTTACATTTACAGCTATCACAAGCAGGTGGTGCTTATTCAAACCTTTTTGTTCTGAAACTGGGCACGCACTCATATCAGACAAACAGTAGGTATAGCAGTAATATTATGACTTAAAGCATTTAAATATGGTATTTAAGGATATTAGACTTTCAGGATTAGAATGAGAGCTTGTGTTCAGATGAGCAAAACCATTCCCGACAGCGCTAATACAAATAACCACTTATAAACGCCTTACCATAGTGATTAAGGGTAAAACAAAAACACATTTTGAAAGAATTATTGATGATGTGCTCATTTGAATTCTGTTCATTTTTAACTAAAAAAGTTAGTGTAAGAAGCAGTCATTACAAAATACACAAATAACAGTTCTTGAAAAGAATTGTGCTTTTGAATTCTGGTTATTTCTTTTTTGACATTTTCAATTTATTTCATGTGAACAAAAGAAATTGATGATGCATAGCCTATTGCCTGCCACATGAAGCTAGCATTTACCTCAGGTAGGCTTTTGTCCTGTAGTGCAGACCTTTAAAATATCGAGGTAAGAATCTTACAAAATTCAAATGAAGCATTCGACTGGAAGAGTCAGAAAACATTTTCTTCAGCGGGTTCTGTCATCCTTGATAAATCATATACTATTTTATATTATTTACGGACACAGATTGAACCGTCACATCACTATGGCAAATTCAGTTTTTTTTTCACAAACGACCCCCAAAGGCGCTGAAACAATCAAATAAAAACATGAGCCCCCATTCCCAACATCTTAAAATCTACTGCCTGAGCAAAGATGGCACGTGTTTGGAATACAGCAGCCATTATGATAAAAGAAAATGTACAGCTAAAACTGAATTCTCAATTCTTGGGTAGCCAGCAATAGGTCCTCAGAACCTGCTGTGGATTACTATGCAAAACAATGAGAAACGTGTCACCATTCATAACAAAAACAGGTCTTGAAATCTACTAAAATACTCTTACTTCCTGTTGGTCATTTATAATCGCACATTTGTTTGGAGAATGAAATGGTTAAGTGCAGAAGCATTTTCCAACCTATTCTTGGCTTATATCTAAATGTGTTTTATACACTGAATGGTAGACATTTCTAAGCATCTCACACATATAATCTTCAAGTTAAGAGCAGATGCGTGCATGTTTTGTTCCTATAGTAGCGCCCTGAGCGTTATTGCTCAAGCTTAACTGAAATATTGTTCCTCTTCAATGCAATATTGAGCAAGTAAACAAGTGTTTTTCTTTCAGACTAACAAACATGGATATAAGCACACTCTCTCACGTCTAAAAAAAGCAAACAAACCCTATTTTACTGTAGAATGAGTAAAAACGTATATATCGAATATGGAGAAGGCATAGCACTGCCGACATCAATAAACAGACACCTTAATTTGAAAGAATTTGGATTTTTGCTATGAACATGTTTAGCCTTCTTTATCCAGAACGTTCTTCACATCTGCAAACACCTGAAAGAAGAGTTAAAAGGAAGCAAAATGAAACCCAAAAAGGTGGAAGGATGTGTATTATTTCCACATTTATCTCTATAGCACTATGGCACAGTGAAAACAAGTGTTATTTAGGGGCCAAGCGCCAAATTGTAATTATTGACTTTTTTATTATACCGTCATGGTTTTTCAAATAGTCCCTTTCATGCACTGTGTAATATAGCTTTTTGTGAATGTAAAAGGTCTGTAAAGTATTAAAAATCAAAGCGGAAGACAAATAAAGTTAAGAATCGATTCTGAACTGCTGAAACGAGTCGTCGGCAATTCCAGACTCAATTCCTGTTCCCTACGTAACAATGTAACAAATTTGCATAATGATAACCTATGGTCTTCATTGGCTGCCCGCAAAGAGCGTCTACTTTGACCCGCCCTCGAACACTGTAGCTGAGGTCTGGTAGAGTTTGGGTTGCGTCGTCATGTTGAGAAGACGCTGGTTTCAGGCACTACGAAACCACTTTGCATTTACGTCAAAAGGACTCGCTTTGGAATCGATACGGAAAAACTGATTCCATCGTTACTCTTCGAATCACCAGTGCTGAGGAAGCCTCTGGAGCCATTCAGAGATGGTAATAGGTGTTTTGTTTCCGAAAGCACTGTAGGCGGAAGACCAATCACAACAGACTTTTCTCATAATATACATTGCACATCAGGTTTTTCAATCATTCTCAAATCAATGACTTTCTAAATCGCTCCTTTCTGCGAGTCTACTCTGCTCTGATTGGCCAGATGACCCAGTCTGTGATTGGTCTACTGCTTAAAGCACACGTTGGACACAACACTCATTAGTAATTACCAGATTTCAGTAAGAGAGTAATAATTTCAGTATTTCCGTAAGACAGGTATTTCCGAGGGGCGCTCCTGTAAAAAATAAAGTGGGTGAAACTTCCGGTGAGGCGGCGGAAGTAGCATTCCAATGGTATTTTGTTTGTTAGTTAGCGAAGAGGCTAGCAGTTTTTCGGAGAATTATTTTACTATTTAAAGACGCAAATCTTTATGAGAGATGTCGTTACGGAGCTCAGGGACAACATGTGCTGTTCGCGGTTGTATGTATAACGGACTAAACTAATTCAGTGGCTTAAACGTGATTGTTTTGAACATAAGCTGAAAACAAAATCAGAGTGATCCTGCAGAGCCCGTCTCTGTTCCTACCAACGACTGTAGTTTCCATCACCTCCCAAAAGACGACGAATCTTACTGTGTACATTTGTTTAAATTCTTAATATTCTATAAACTCTATCAGCATGTGATTGGCTGTTCCTTACTGATGTTACACCTAAACTCAGGATCAAAGCCTGTGTTGACAGAATACCAAATGTGCCAGTTAATGTAAGTTATTCAAGTAGCACATTCATTTATAATTTTGAATAAACTCCGACCAAAGCACAATGACTAAGTGTGTATTTTTTATTCTAAATGTTTGCCAGCTCGCACAACTGTCTGTCACCATGCCTTGATGAGTATTGATTATTAATAATGTTATTATAATACTCCCAATCAACTACTGCGGAGGGTAAAGGTACTGTTATTTCACCCTTTTGAATTTCGTTGAGGTTGTGTTCCCACATCGTTATCTAGTTTGGATCGCTATAACTTGAATGACTGTCAACTGTTGAATGAACGAGTGTCAAGCATGTCAAATCGCGGTTTGTTTACTTCCAACCGGAAGTCGCGCCCACTTTTGACGCAAGGCCTCATGGGGCGTAGGAAACTTGTGGATACAATATAAAAACACAAAACTACTTATTTTAAAACACCCGCCAGAAAATATTTACATCAATAATGCTTACAGATTGTTTGCGGGCGGACAATGTATAACATAAGCGAGCATTATGCAAATGTCTTATCTATTGACGTAGAAGTGTCACGCAGTGAGATTCGAATTAAAAACGACTCGTTAAGGCGGTTCTGAGTCGATTCTTTCTTTAGGGAGACAACTACTTTATTTATTGTGACTTTACAACTATGCAGAGCATTTACTTTCACAAAGAGCTATATCACACACTGCATGAAGGGAATTTTTGAAAAAATCATAATAGATGGCACTTTAATAAAAAAAATAACTTGCATTTGGTTTACCTTTATCGCAAAACTCCCCCTAAAAAAAAACAAAACGAAGAGAAGGCTCAAAGAAAAGAGAAAAAGATCAGTCATACCTCATCCACTGACCGGGAGGCATCAATCGTGCGCACCTTCCCTTGCTTCTCGTACTGCTCTATAATGGGCCGTGTGGACTGGAGGTACGTCTGGATCCTGACAATTGAAAGAGAATTTTTAGGAAAAGTTCAAGCAAATGAAAAGCGTAACCCAAAGTCGCTGTAAACAGGGAAACACTAGTCCTTCCATTCCCATATAATGCCAACTATGGTGAGAGACACATTTTACAAACACAATGCTGAATATAGCTGCAAGCAGCCATTACCGGGGCCAAGCGCAAGAAGCGGCAACAGATGCCATCATGGGTGGGAGTAGCAGACCAACTGCAGCAAGGAGCAATTAAAGACATTTTAGGAGAATTTTGGTAAAAATGGCAGAAAAATCATATGCATTAACTAAAAGTATGATTTAAAGGATTATCACTTTCGACCAGTAGCTGGCGCAGTTACGAAATTAATTTGGTGTGGTCAGAGTGAGGTGACAATGACATACAAAGTTTTGTGTCATTATGTCGAGGCATTGCAGACATAAAGGCTGAATAGTCCCTTTGGCCTGCTGCAGTATAAGGAAACGGTTTCGTCTATCGACGCAAAATCCATAACTTGAATTCAGCCCGGTCTGGGGATGATACGATTTGAATTTTGTTGAAAAGAGACCAATGACATTACAATAGGCATATTAATTCAAAAGTTATTAGCCTTTATGGAAATTTAATATAACTTTTGACCAACAGGTGGCGCTAACTCGAAATCTTTTGATTACCTTCAGGGGATGGTGTTGGTGGCAAATTCATAGTTTCATAATGTTACAGCAATGCATTTGTTAAGTATACCATTATACATCACAAAACTGTGTTGAAGTCAATGGGAATTTTGCATTTTGTTTCATTATAGCACCACCAAGAGGCAAAAATCCCACAATTTTTTCCATGTGTCCTCAGACTGAGCCGATGCATGTGTGTGCCAAATTTGGTGAAAATATATCAATTTAATTCGGAGTTATAGACGTTTATATGTAAAAAAAAAATGACTGACACGTGACTTTGATTGAATTTTACTACCCATTACCTACTATCAACTATCAATTACCTACTACAAATGATATTAGTACGATATGAAACGATACAATATGAAAAATGGTTATTTTTGCCACCTAATGGTCGAAAGTGATAAACCATTAAATCATTTTATAAGTTACTGTATATCATTTTTAAGCCATTTTGCCTAAATGTATCTTTAATTGCTCCTTGCTGCAGTTTGTCAGAAACTCCCAGCCATGTTGGCATGTCTTGTCGTGGTCTTCTTTTGAGCTTGGCCCCGTAATGGCTGCTTGCAGCTATATTTTGTCAATATATTTGATATTTATTAGTGTTATTATAGAGAGGAAGTACCTCTTCTCTAGACTTTCTCTGTTATCATCAGACCGTCCGCTGCTCTTCCCCCGCTCTAAACATCTATCAATGCAAACCTGAAATACACAACCAGCTGAAATGATATTCCATGCTTAGATGACATTCATAAGAAAAAAATCAATAAAGTTACATTTTATTTTAGATGAGATTTTCCATAACCATGTCAAAGTTCATTCAAAATGTTCATTTCGTTCATTTTAAATCAACTGTAATGGTCGAACAACGAATAAATCAGAAACACATGTTACTCCTCACCTCATTACCGCAGTCAAAGAAAAGAACAAACTTGACATCTGCCTTCCCGTCCATGACAGTGGTCCACCCCTGTAGGTTGTCGTGGTTACGTGGAAAACCGTCAATAAGAAAGCGAAACTTCTTCTCATCAGCTTTCATAGTCTGTTCCATTGCCTGCCAAATTCAGATATTTATTCACTTTTTCTGTGTCCTTGTTACATGTACTTCCTGTAATAATAAAAGTAAATAATTCTTAATCACATGCACCTAAGCCTAAACCAAACCCGGAAGCACTCTATTTTACAGTCCTTTTCAGCATGTACACACTAAGTACTTATTAAAGAAATTACAATAACTGGGTTATTATAACTAGGTACTAACCCTGAACCAGCCCCTAAACCTTTACCTTATATTACCAGTACTTTCTTGGGTAAGTAAACTGTAAGTACACATACTGTAAAATAAAGTACAACCCCAAACCCTATAGCTAACACTAATCCTATAGTAAGCACGTTATTGATTAATATTCCTCAGCACTTTAATGTATAATTTACACTGTAACAAGGACACCTTAAAATAAAGTGGAACCAAAAACTGAAAAAAAGACAAATATCTGAAATCTAAGATAGTCTAATCTGCAACTCAACTCACAAAAGGCGAGTCAGAATTAGAACTTTGTTATAAAGATGTAATGGTATCGTCAGAGTTAAGATTTATGCCTCTTATGAGACAAGCGTGTTCATTTATACCTATAATGAACCGCTCTTTGAACTCCCCACCACTGATAACGAAACTGCACACATTTGTTATCAAGTTCACTCTCAGTTATATTTCTAACTGCTTGAAAATGTCAACTGCTAATGTTCCAGCAAGCAACCCTTCTACAGTCATCCGGACTGGACTGCATACTAGGCTTGTAACTTAAGACAGGACAGACAAGTGTAACAAGTCACCACCTTTTTCAGCAAGTTGATGGTGATTTCAACGGGGACGATCTTGCCCTCTTTGATGTAGCTGTCAATGAGCTGACCGAACTCTGAGCCCGTGCGGCTGCGCTCCTCTCTCAGGAGGTCTCCGGCAGACAGGTGAGTGTAGCTGTAGTTCTGAGCGCAGCGGGTTACACAAAAACATCACACGTTAGGAACTTCAATGCAGAACATTGTGGTTAATGCACACCCTAGAAGATTATAAGCTTTTTTATCATGGATAATGACAGCTTGTCATTTATATGAATGGAGAGAGAAAACGTGGGCTTGGTAAGTGAACAGACAGGCTTTGTAGCAAAAGCAGTCCTGATATTCCAAAAAAACCTCAATCATGTGACACAACGTGTGTCCAAATGTTTGGCTGCTGTATGTGTAGACATCGTAAGCGTACAAAAGACTCATTTAAGAACCTGGTTTAGATGCCATATGGCTCACAGAGAGGGTTTTTAATAGCAATCGATATCTTTAAAAAATTATTTATGGGTTAGATTTTTTATGGTGCAGTTTTAGAGTAAAAAAATGTGTTAAAAAATATGCATTTCATTAAAAAAAATCATAACAATACACATAAAATTCGATAACTTTAAAAAAAAAACTTAACTTAAATCTTAAACTTTTTTCACTTCAGCAATAATCTTTGAAAAGAGAAAAAAGCATTTAAGATTTACAAGTTTAAGTTGGAAATAAAATTTTCAGGGCTATGCTCAAAAAGTGAATAAATGGATTATGACTACAGCATGAATATAATTTAGTAGGCTACCATAAAATCCCCTAAATAAATACAAAATATTAAATAAAAAAACATTGTCTAACTAAAATATGGTACATTTATTTCCTATTTATATATATATTGAACATAACCGTGCATGGACTTATCATACATAAACTACACTAGACAAATATAAAACTGTTATCAAAGTGTAACTGGTTAAATTATCCAAGTAGTAAAATCAAAAAGGTTGCCAGAGCAGGCTAAAACAAAAGCACAAAACTTTTTTTTTTATCTTGCTAGACGTGTGTTTATATATTTTACATTAACATATTTTTTTTTAATAGGCAGAAACACTGGAAAAAACTGCTATGATTGGTTTGTCACACTTTGAACTTTAATGAAGGTCAAGTACACAGAGAGAAAGAATTATCGTTCCATCAAAGCAATTCTGCTATCATGTCAGATGGACTCAAGTAGGACTGTAAATGGGACCAAATAGCATGAAAATTAGCATTTTCCTAATGAAATGTCATGCGGAAATGAACAATCCATGTAACGTAAGGTGCAGCAAACCTGAACACATCAACACACTACAAGCCCCATAAAGCCTGGTTGCCTAATTTAATCCTTGAATTAATTCCTTGCCTTATATCGTGGCCTTGAATAATTATTCTCAGCTAATATATGATAATAGCCGTAATGCGTTATCTCTCTTACCTCCACAATTCTCGCGCATTGTGTCCCTTTCCCCGCGCCAGGCCCGCCCAAAACAAACACAACCTGCGGCTTCATCATCACACTAATCCTGTGCACAACGCTTGGAAGCTTCCCCGATAGCCTTTGCAGCAAGCCCACAATCATAAACCGTCCTGATAAGCGATAGTTGCACTCAATGAATGACCATCGACCCCTGGGAGTCGGGTACAGAGCTGCTTGAATGACCGGTTGATGCGTGTCAAGGAAGTGCGCCGGGCAGATTCCACTTCCGCCGTACACGTGTCCGACCAATCAGAGAGCAGACGTGTCGCATACGTCACTTTAGCGACGCCCATTGCTCTGATAGCTCTCCAGAACGCGCACCCCTCCTTCGACCGGGGTTCGCGCACCAGCATCAGCATCCGGGTTGCCACGTCTGCTTGTCGTAGCATGAACGGCACCGTGTTTGTTTTTATTCTTTTACATTTGCTTATGTAAATATACTAACAATTCCGTGGGTTTGGCCTTTTTTTCCAGAATATATTTCCGTACTTTAGGTTTGCTGATGGTTTATCCTCAATATAGTGAACTACACTTGGTCATTCAATATTTTCGACTTTCCTAGAAACTGCAGAATGTAATGTTATTAAATAGGCCTATACTTTTTTTTAATGGCACACACGTAGGCCTATAGTAGCCTACTCTGGCAACTTTTTATTTGACTTTTTACATCGTTTAACCAGTTAAACTTGATTGTTGGCTATATAACAAAAAGAAGGAAAAAAAAAACTTTAGTATTGTTTAGCCTGTGTTAAAGGCCCACTGAAGTGCCTTTTGATGAAAACGCACAGCATTATTCAATGTGTTGATGTAATTTCCACTGAAACAGGAAGGGGCTGATCAAACAGCTCTTCCCCTTTTTAAAAATGTATCAATTGTGTTTCTCACAGCTCAGCAAAGATGCAGTTGCATCTTAATCTGTTTCTCCTACTCCTCCATATCGCTTTAAAATGTAGCATCCTCTGTAGAATTCAAATGGGTCCAATACGTTTTCAGGTCTGTGGTGACTCGTGTCTCTGGACCGGAGCAGACTGTGTGCGGCCTGCAACGGTTTCTGACACATGTGAGACTTAATTTGCCCCAATGTATACCTGAATCGTTCCCTATGCCCTATATAGAGCCCTATGTGCCAAAATGTGTAAACAAGTGACTGATTTTAGCCGCAACTTCTATTTATAATGTAGGGGGCGGGACTATAGAGATTGTAGAGAGCATTTGATTGGATAGAAAGTCTGATGAGAAGCTGAAGTGATGTCCACAAATTCATTGATCCATATTGGTGGATATCAAACAGAACATTTATTCTTCCTTTGCTCAGTTAGCAGGAAGTTCTGGCAAGATGTCCACAGCTGGTTGAAAAATAAAATTAGTGAACTATTTACCATCGAAGATATTCTAATTTATAATTACAAAATAACAAGGGACCTTTCAATTTTGATTAACCTTATCATCATTATGGGTAAATACCACGTCCACAAAAATAAATGGAAAAAACAATTGCCAAATGTAAACTGTTTTAAAAATGAATTTTCTATGTTTTTATCCTCCTTGAACCCTGTAAAGAAATCTAAACAAACTGTAGAAGATGTATGTTATGCTGCTGAAAAGTTTTTGATCCTGTAACACATTATTTATTTGAAAACTATGCCTTTTTTTATGTATTATTTTTGATTTATTTTATTTTATTTTTATTTTTCATTGTCAATCTGCATATTGTTGATGCCTGGCCTGTTTTTTTGTTTGTAATAAACTTAAAAAAAAAAAAAAAAAATTGGTGGATATGGATCATCAATGATTTTGATATAAATTTCAATTCAATTTTATCATTGTTTTGGAGCACACTAGCTAATAACTTATAAGGCTAGCATATTCACACTAAAAGCCCAAAAAAATTCAATTTTGATTTCATGGGGACTTTAAGGCACATAACAAGCCAAAAAAGAGAGCCAATTGATAGTTTATTTAGATTGTACTTGTTTATTTGTTCAACTCATATTATTACAAAACAATAATTTGCAATTTAGCCAAGCTTATTCTACGTTTTATGTAAACGTTGGTTTTTGCGTGTTTTACTTGCGCAACCTGGCAACACTGATCAGCACCTCACTGCAACTGAACAGCGACCATATAAGCACATGTCTGCGTTATAAGATGCTCTGCTGTTTTCCATTGGAGGAATATATTTAAAAATCCCTGCGCTATATAATGTTGCTGGGCGATTGCATTCGCTGTGTTTTTTACCATTACTATTATTACCATTATCTTTGTGTTCTCCAAAGATTTGCACAGGGTGTCTTCGCTTTGGATGTAAGGGATGGAAACACACAAAGGAAAAAAACAAAATTAGTCCAGTGATGCCCATGACAGGCACTGCATTTGTAAAGGTGACCCAAGTTTGCATCCTAGCCTAAATCAGACGCACTGCATCCCGCCTTGGTTGGATCCGTCTGTGTGTCGCTTCTCCCTTTTCAAACGGATCCGCATCAACGAAATGTTGGGTAGGTCGTTCACCTGGAGGAAAAATAACAAACACACACTCTCTATGCAGCACCGGCTCCCTCTTCAGCACTGACATGCCCGCGCCTAGCAGAAAAACCAGGACCAAAGGGCTCAGAGATACGGCCGGACGCGCGAATTGGAAGGAGGACGAGAAACAGGCGCACACCGGGTGTCCGATTCGGTGGAGGCCGGATCACATCTGCTGGGGACGAGCATCAAGGGCAGTGCGGCACTCCAGCGCCTCAGAAACAGGCGACACGGATCATCCACACACCCGTAGTTCCACAACACCGCTGTGTTCCCGTTACACATCTCCATTGGTCTCAAAGATGCGCTAGAACAACACACGGGGACTCTGGAATGAAACAAAACATGTCTTTTTCATAGCAGACATGCATTTTATTGCTTCCACCCAGAGGATTTATCGAGGATACATTGTGTTGGAAATGAAGACGAGGATCTGTCAGCGTTTCGAGGGTTGCAAAAAGTGCCAATGAATATATTGCTCAAACATATCCTCCTTTTTTCGTCATTGGCCACATTGACACCCCTAATAAGCAGGACCATGGGTTGCATTCAAAGCATCGCCTGCAAGCCCCGCATCCGACGGGAGAACATAGTGGTCTATGAGGTCTCAGCCTCCATTGACCAATGCCCGACCATCATTGAGGAGAATTCGCCCATTGTCCTGCGATACAAGACCCCATACTTCAGAGCATCGGCTGGGATCGTGATGCCCCCGGTTCCTAGAAACGAAACGTGGACGGTGGGCTGGATTCAGGCGTGCACCCAAATGGAGTTCTTCAATACATATGGAGATATTGGCATGTGAGTAACCAATAATCTAAACAACACAACAACGACAAGCTGCTCAAGTGTCAGTATGTTTTATTGGTCGTTCTGTTGAGTTTGTGGTCATCAGTGGTCGACAAATAAGTGAGTATCATGTTGTGCAATTTGACATCTAAAACTTTATAGAATCATTTCTTGGTGTGAAATATTTATTGTGTTGTGTACCATTTAGAATTGAACTGAGAATGTTTTCAAAACTCCAATTAAATTCCTGAATTTGAATTGAAACAGCAAACAGGATTGCAATTCGAATGGGAAGAAGTAAAACGAACAGCAATTCAAATAATTTTCCACAGTATTTTTACACTGAACGATAAACTTTAAATGTTTGGCTTGAGAAAGAACAAGTTTTTAAACAAGTTTTTTAAGCTTTAAAGGGATACTCCACTTTTTTTTGGAAATAGGCTCATTTTACCACTCCCCCGGAGTTAAACAGTTGGGTTTTACTGTTTTCGAATCTATTCAGCCGATTATTTTGATATTTAGAAGAATATCAATAACCAGACAGTTTCTGGTCTCATTGACTTCCGTAGTATATATTTTTATCCAACTATAGAAGTTAATGCGACCAGAAACTGTCTGGTTACTGATATTCTTCTAAATATCAGAAAATTCGCTGAATGGATTTGAAAACGGTAAAACTCAACTGTTTAACTCTGGGGGAGTGGTAAAATGAGGCTATTTCCAAAAAAAGTGGAGTATCCCTTTAAAGTGTGAAGATTTAGGTCTTACTGAGAATTCATTACCCGTAATGTATCACATAAAATTAATTTCTTTGAATTGCAATTGAGGAAGTTTCTCTTCCTGTCATTCCACTCACAACTTCCACTTTCAATTCTTCAACTCGTATTAGACATGATTTTGCCAAGTAGGATGTGTCCATGGATAGTTTGTTGGTCCTAACAATATTGTATCTAGCCATGTCCATTAACAACCCATAAAATCTGAGAGAAGTTACAGTTTTTAAGCCCCAAGCCCAGCCCTAAACGTAACCCTAAAATCCAGGGCGACAATAGGAGACCATCAGAGTAGATTAGAAGATGAGAACAGATAATTAAAATAAGTGGATTGTCTAAAACACATTCATGAATATTTCATCCACAGTCCTGTCTTTTAATCACTGTTTTTCCATATTTGTATCATGAGGCACTTTGTACTGAGCAGGTCCTCTCACCAACCCTCACCATTTCTATTTACTTGCACTCTTCACCCGTTTGATGTATTAAAGAACTGCCGCTCTTTTGTCCTTTCTGACCACTCATCTTCTTTTCCTGCCGCAGGTCCAGCTGGGAATTACCCGAGCTTCGGGAAGGACGGGTAAAGGCCATAAGTGATTCTGACGGCGTGAGTTATCCCTGGTACGGTAACACTACCGAAACAGTGACCCTCTCAGGCCCCACGTCCAAGCCGTCCCGGCTAACGGTGAGCATGAATGACAACTTCTACCCCAGTGTGACTTGGGCGGTGCCAATCAGCAACAGCAACACGCCCATGCTCACACACATCACCCGAGACCAGAGCTTCATCACCTGGCTGGTGGCGCTAAACGCAGACACCAAAGAGCGTATTGTTCTTCAGACAGTACGCTGGCGAATGCGGGTAGACATTGAGGTGGATCCTTCCATGCCGCTCGGTTCTCGTGCCAAACTGATGGGACGACCGCACCAGGAACAGCCGCACATTCTCAGTAACAATGAGCCTATCCCACCCAACGCGCTGGGCCGGCCCAATGCCAACGATGCCCAGGTGCTGATGTGGAGGCCTAGGAGGGGACAACCTCTGGTGGTTATACCACCCAAATAGAGTTGTC